AGTTAATCTTTCGGCTGTACTGGGCAAGTTTTACGTTGAAGCAAGGAAAGGATTTTGCAAATAATAAAGCAAATGATAAAACAATTATTGAACTCCGTAATAGCAAAATATTGTGATTATTAGATTATACTATTGTTGTTGATATATTTTATAATGATCACAACTATAATTAGATTGTTGCTGTTGTGTGAAATTTAAATCTCTTCTGCGACATTTTGATTGGATACTAAATATAAACTTTGCTGTGGGTGGAAAAAAATATAAACTGCAAAAATTAGCTTTGAGGATTATCTATGCCAAACCAAAACTAACATCTTCTGGGCCACTATTTATAACTGCTGGAGTACTACCTATACAGCAAAGAATCATGCTACGAACGGCGATAATGGTATACAAATCTTTGAATAATTTGGGTAATTACTGAGTTTCAAACATTTTTCTGATTATTAACGGTTTTTCGTCTAAGTAAAAATTGGTTGAATTGGTTTTCAAGAAAATCTTTTTTTTCCTGTTTATCGATAAACCGCCCGGCATGATATTATCAATGTATGTATGGTAAGTATCAAATGCATACTTGGCCAACCGATACTAATTGGTTAATGACAAAATCAACTGATATTGGTGCTCACTGCTGTTGATAGCCTGACAAGGTGACTGGTCAGCATATTTCGCCGGTTCCCAGCTCACATATTGTTTTTATATTTTTTCGAGGTTGTATTCAAATTCATTGTTGGGCTCATACAGTATGCTTTATATATATACGAGATACATGACACATGTATCATTGAGTATTGACAACACTGGAAGATAAAACCTGTATCTTCAACTAGAGGTTGTGTATAATAAATGTCCTGTCTATTATATTAGAATAAATGAAATATCTTCACACGTGAAGCCAAAAGTGTGAAATGTGATCATATCCTTTGCATGTATTAATTAATAAAGATATCATTTAATATATAGTTGACTTCACATGTTTCTAAATACTGTTGGGTTTTTCATCAAACAAATACTGTTGAACTGGCTTATTAACTAACACTAGCTAACACAACGAAACACAAAACATATTGTAGCCCGAATGTGAGACGCCAAAAGTGGCAAAAACATTCCGAAATGTAGATTGTAGAATCATACACATGCACTGCAGCGCGTTGCCTATGGTCGAAAAGCGTCCAGTCGCTATAAAATACATATTTATCCCACAGAGATGCAACCCCCAGAGGCTCTTATAAATGCCTGCTAATGAGGACATCCTCAATAAAACACTATGACAAATTCGTATAGAGACAATCATAAATACCCACGGGAGAGTCGGGAATACACTTGATGACAAAGATCAATAATAAACATAATTTAGCCGCAATTAACGAAAACATGACAATACAAAGACAATAATATGATAATAAAGTAATAGTTGACTTACTTTCAAGTGTGGATTGATAATTCCAACAACAGGATTAATACGGATTTAATATTGTAGAACAGCTCTAGACCAGCAGAATACCAGATCGGACAATCGGAGAGAAACAGAGAACAGGAAGCCCTTTCATGTTGTCACGTTGCGTCATACGCGCGATGAAAGGGGGGGGGGGGATCGAAATTGCAGGGGCATGTGGGCAGTGAACTCAATATAATTAACTGGAACAATAACATGCGAAGGGAAATAATAAAAGTGCCATCACAATAAAATAGCATGATTGTTTAATTTCACAACAGTTCAGTTTGAAATAGATAAACAAACTCTAAATAAAGATACTATTCAGTTAGAATTATCCGATAACTTATACTACCAACACCGCGGAAAAACGTCTGCGCATGCGTCAACCTTACCTGTAATAGTATTGCGAACTTGATGAGAAGCTGTTCTGAACGTTTCCGAAGGCTCAAAATGGCGGTAAAAAGGAGTGACTTCATTGTGCGTCTTTACAGCCAGATTTCGAGCGCAAAAATAAACATGTCATTCTAAAAACTAGGAATAAATACAGCCAGAAGATTCAAGAAATTGTATTGTACAAGAACATGAACTAAAGGTGATTGTTGACAAATTTATCGTCTGAAACATTTTGTTTATCAACTAAGCAACGACAATTTCCGAATTTCGTTTGAGATACATTTCTTTAAAAAAAACTGTGTCGCCAAATATAAAAAATTTTCGTGTTCACAATAATTAAACTTTAGGATTTATTCTACAATTTGAGTGGGTTAAGAAGCTTAACTTTTCGAGAGTTTTCTTAACTTTTGAGTTTGAATTTTTGTTTTGAATAATTTTGCAAATATTTTCGAAGTCGTGTCCGTTAAAATCAACAATTTTTTACATGAATTATATTTCATTCCATACTTTAAAAGCCAGGACGCTTTCAATTAATGTCTAGTCTACCCATTTGCTATATTTTCTCGTTTGTTTTACTAATTTTTGAAATAATAAGCATGTTTTTGTTTTACAAATTGATATTCAAATTCCCCGCCATATTTTTATAATTTGGTGCATGCGCAGACGTTTTTCCGCGGTGTTTATACTACCACATATTTTTATGACTCTTACAAACTCTGGCTTTTAATTAATTAACCTTTCACAATAGACACAATGTAACAATACAAGCCAATCAAAACAAGCCAATCTATAGATCTTTTCGCTCCTCCCCACAAAATTATCAATGCGTTTTTAATACAATTCACGCTTAACGTGCATATGAAAATTAAGCCGTTTTATTAAAATATTTTCTCAATGGCATATTAATTGTCAGAATCAGAACATTGGGTTGTCAGGTATTTAGCTAAAGGCCGGCACACACTAGAGCTATATATGTGCTTAGCAAAATGTCACACGTGCCCAATGGCGTAAGGAGATAGCTCTCGTGTGCGGGCGATTTAAGTGGCACGAATGACAAAAGTCGTTCGTAAATCACCCGCACACGAGAGCTATCTCCTTACGCCATTGGGCACGTGTGACATTTTGCTAAGCACATATATAGCTCTAGTGTGCACCGGGCTTAAGAGTTCAATTATCAATTTGCCAAGCTTAAATTGCCGTGTTTTAGAAACTTCCGACGTTATAGAAATTGTATAATCACGCAATGTTGTTTGTCAGTGTTGTAAACGATACACTGCAAATTGTTGACACAAAAACAACGTTAAATAATTGTGTAGTTATTTGAAAATGACGTAGCAAAACACAGAATGTTGCTTCGCCGTTAAAAAATGACGTGGAATATACCAACATTCCCACAACGTCTTGGCAACGTTGTGTAATGGTGAAAAAATGACGTTGTATACGAACGTTCTCACTACGTTGTTACAACGTTGTGTTCAGGCGATAAATATGACGTTGTATACAAACGTCTACAAAACGTTCTCACAACGTTTGCAAATAATACTCTGCGATGTGAATGTAGTATAGACGTTGTCACAAGGTTAGGTCCGACCTGACCAAAATACAACCTTTAAATAACGTTGCGACAACGTTATGTGTTAGCTGGGTTAATAGTAATAATGCTGTGACAACCAGATAGTAAATATCTTTGACTGCTTGCAAGCGGTGTATTGTATTTTCATGTTTGCCACACATTTGCACTTTTTTGTGTTTGTAAGAGCTTATTGTCCCGGGTTTTTTTTGCGCAAGTGCTTTATTGGGTAATCATGAAAACGTTTTCTCTCCGTTTTGTGTTAAGGGTTTCATGCCTGAACCAATAGGAAACAATTGACTTAAATAGAACACTATGATGTTTGTGTACTTTATCATTAATAGTTATTTAAAAGCTTTCCTAACGAGAAACGTTGCTTTTCCTCATGGATATTCGTTCTTCATTAAAACTTTAAAACCTTTTGACTTATGAGTTATCAGATTGAAAAAAAAAAGGATAAGTGTAACACGAGTCACAACCACACTGATGTAATATGAAAATAATAGAGACCTCAAGACAACGAAACGTATATCGGATATGATTATATCTCATTTTTAAAATAGTTCTCTGGTTATAATATTTTTAGCAGTCTTTTTAGCAATGTTAACTGGTATACAATTACAATTTATTGCCGTGCAAAATTAGGCTATCCATAAAAAAGAAATGCTCAGATTATACATCGTTTCAAAATGGATCGAATACAACCAATATTCTATATAATTAAATTGGTAAATTGATTGTGACGAGTTGTTGCATCATTCACTGCAATTTTTTTCAAAATCCTTATTAGCTATATAGCCTATATAGGAACAGTAGCCTATATGGATCTTTGTTAGAAATAGTACTGAAATCCAATTCATACTAATTGCAAGTTCGATACTATATGGATATAGTATGGAAATAGTATAGTGATCCAATAGCAAATTACATAATATGGATTTGCTTCGTTTGCATTGCTTCAAAAGGAATTCAGTATAAATCTATATGCCTGTAATCGCCATATCTTGGGTTTTTACTCGCACTTTATTATATTTCAAAACAACTAACTTTTTACAACGTGTACACAGCCTTATATAGAAAACACACACTTCATTTACATAATAACAGTACATTTACATACATACATATCTATCGCGTGTCTACACTCCCCGCCGATGAGGAGTTCTCAAGCGACGAAGATTGCTTTCAGTGCACGTTTTGTCTCCCTTATTAGCCTTTCCCACACACCAGAGAAATGCGGTGCATTCGGTGGGTGAAATATCCAGTCAATTCCTCGCTGGGATAATTGATCTTCAAGACGATCTTCACTCCAAGCTTTCGTTGCACTTTTTAACTCTTTATCAGCCCCACGGAAGTTCGTGCCACAGTCCGTTCGTATTTCTTTCGGGGTTCCACGTCGGGCGATAAATTGTCGCAAAACATTAATGAAATCGTCAGTTTCTCGTGACGGTGCGACTTCCAGGTGTATTGCACGAGTGGTCATACACGTAAAAATGCATCCCCATCTTTTACGCGTAGATCGACCTTGTCTTATTAACATAGGTCCGAACATGTCAATTCCCACCTAAATGAACGGTGGTTCATATGCCATAACCCGACATGGTGGTAAAGGTGCCATTTGTTGTTGGAGCTTTGGAGCGTGTCCCTTTCTACAGACAAAACATTTGTTGATAATCTTCCGAACCAGGGAACGAGCATTACAGATCCAAACTCTTTGGCGTAATATATTCAAGGTATGCTCTTGACCAATATGGGCATTACTACAATGGACGTGTCTTGCTAACAGCTCTGATACCCAATGTTGCTTTGGTAGGATTGGTGGAAACTTCGCATTGTAACTTATATGAGCGTATTCTAATCTGCTTCCCACTCGAATAATATTGTTCTCACCAATAAAAGGATTGAGCTTTGCGATGCTACTTGATATCTTTACTTTCCCCGATTTGCTGAGGGCGTTGTATTCTTCTAAAAACACTTGCTGCTGGATCATTCTTATGATGTCGTC